TGATAACCCTGATTTGTTACTAGAAGAAAATTTAATACATTTTTGGTTCTATCACCATTGTTAGACTAAATCCTACTCATTCTGACAACTGAGATATGGCTGGTTTGGCATCAGAAGAGAGTGCTGGGGATGGGGCAGACCAAAGGTGGGTACCTTCTCGTGTTGGAGGCCATGTAATTTAGCTGTAATCAAATAAGGCCACATCCAAGAAACTTCAGTTAGATACTTAAACATGTACATTGTTTTGTAAAACTCTAACTACTGTGTAGTTACAATTTCAAAAATGAAAATTATTTGTTAATTTTAAGGATAACTAACTTTTATATATGTAATGCTTCACAAATTTGCATGTCATCTTTGCACAGGGGCCATGCTGATCTCTGTATCATTCCAATTCTAGAATGTGTGCTACCGAAATGAGCGTGAGAACTAACCTTTTAATGACTTTACTGTGTCTGCTTTTTGTTGGAAAGCATTTGAATATTTGGTTGAAGCACGGAGGTCCATGGTTTTAGTTGATCCTCTCAGTGAGTTGTGACCCTATGGGCATCTCGATTTGGGTTATATAGCAGAATGTACATTCATAGCAATAAGTGATTTAAACGTCTGGGGGCATATTGCTGAAGGCATGGGTATTCTACAGCAATTTTATATGTTTCAGTTAAATTTTAGCATCAAACAATGACGTTAAGATGTCATCTGCTGAGAACTCCATCAGTTCCATCTGCTGTTGTTTAGGGGCCTTGGTGATGTCAACTAGGTGAGGGTGAAATGCTGCTTTGAGTGTGATGTCATGATTCTCAAAGTCAGTGAACCTTCATCATATTCTCTAATTAATAGGTCGACAACAGCTGTGTATTCTTCACATGATTCTCATATATTATCTGGCTCATCACTGACTATTGCCAACTGGGAAAATGTTTGTCTGAAATTTCCTTTGAAGAAGTATTTTGAAAAAAGAAGGCTGTTTTTTGAAATGCTTGGATTTTTTGCCACATATCATGAATGGACTTAGTTTTACCTTGCAAAGTCATATTCAAATTGTTTTGATTTGACATATCACACAGAAATAGTGTATTCCTATAGAAATCTTTTCTCAATAATTCTGATTATGAATAATGCTATTCTTTATAAAATTTAACTATCTGTTCTTTTAGAGATAAATTTTGGCTGGGCACATGTTCTTGTAAAAGCTAACACACTTTAGAATGATATGGCAAATCTACAGCAAATATACACTGGATACCTCATTTTTCAACTTTAGCATGTTGCAAAATTGATGATGCCATGTAGAATTTGCACGAATATAGTTAACAATACATATAACTTGTTGCAAAGTGCCACTTAAAATAGTGGCTTTTGGACAGAGTTTTTGCCAATGCAAGATAACAATAAAACGAAGTTGACAGCATCTGGATGTTCATAAATTTTTGTCTGTGCAATAAGCCTTTCATGTTTTCCTTCCATGGAAGGTGCATAGTTTGTACAAACACTCGCTAGGTTTACCAAATTCAGTCTACCTTCATGACATTTACCTTGAAACTTGTTGAAGATATCTATTCCTTGTGTTCTGTTCCCAAGAGTGCCCAAAGTGGGTAACACATAGCACAGAAAATCTGTTATGACCTGAATGAAGTTTGAAACCTGAGCCAAGTCAGTGGTATCAGCTGATTCATCTAAACCAATTGAATAATAGGTACTTTCCTTTGGAAATATCTCATGAAGTTGCTCTGTTTATGTTGAAGGTTAATTCATGCTTCTGATAAGCTGTGGCTTTTCTTGAAAGAGGCAGTTGTTTGTACTTTGGAATGTTACTGGGGTCTACAATGCATTCTTTAGCAGTTTCTACATCTCTGAATGGCTTCTCCTCCTCCTCCCACCTCTGAATGGCTTCCTCTCCTCCTCCCACTTGCCCACTGCCCCTGAGTATATAAGCTACTTTATAAGTTGCTTCAGCAGTTATTTTCCAGGTCTTATTGTTACTTGAAAGAATTGCCTTTGCTTTTGCTTTGTAGCTTTTAATTCCTACAATACAACCTCCCACACCTCTCCCTTTAATTTAAAATATTTGTGCTTATGAGTTTTATAATGCTCGTGAATATTGCATTTCTTTAATGTTGATATTGTAGTACCACAAAGCAAGCAAATTGTCTTGTCTTTAGCAGGAACAAGATAATATTACAATTCCTAATCCTCATTAAAAAATCTGGTTTCTTCCTTCATAATTCTCTTAGTCTGCTTTGACATGATGGGCTATTAAACAGAATTAAAAAATACTGTCCATCAGTGCAACTGTTCACAAATCCCACTTGAAACAGCGGCACAGTGCACCACTGTAGAAAGCTGATAGCAGACTAGCTTCCTTCACTCCCAATGAACTCTCGCCAACCAGCCTTGTGTGGTAGTAGTGCCTGTAAGACAGGGAAGTTGAAACTAAATTATGAGTGTAGCAGCTGTTTGTTTAGCCCTTATGGTGTATTAATGTTCTAATTGTGCTGGACAATCTGGGAGGATTATTTTGTTTAAACTTATTTTATTCTTAGATATTTTAAATACATTTATTTTAAAAATAAAAGACAAATATAAAGGTATTAATAAAAAGATTTGTTCTGTGAATTTTGGAGTTAGTCAAAAGGCTGCACTTAAGGACCTAGAGGGCCCTGTGTGGCCTTGAGGCCGCAGGTCCCCACCTAGAGACAGATCTGGTCAGTCACTCCCCTCTTCCCAGGGTGAGTCCACAGCTTGTTTCATCCGGATACCCCTTAAGTCACCGAAACCCTGTCTGTCTGAGGCAACATTGAGTCATGTATGTTTGACCTTAAAGAGCTACTCAATGCCTAGGAGACATCCCTAATTTTTTCCTCAAGTTGTTCTTAGAACAAGGAATTTGCAAGAGTAAATGAATCCAAACCTCAGATGTCAGAGGTCAGACTGACACTGAGGAGGACTGTGTGTTAACCTTGGCTAGACTGCTCCTGTCCACACTGGTGTTTGCATCCTCAGAGGACTCAGGCTTAATATCCCCATTATTATGTCAGGTGAAATTTACCAAAACTATAAAAAAACACTTCATTTATGTGTTGATAGAAACAGACTTAAATCCTCTCATGAAAATTCTTTGGAATATGGGGGCTATAGTTTTGAAAATAAACATTCAGACTCTGACACTCCTATCTAAGCAGGAAAGATTCTTTTTCTAAGCCTGCCTGAGGGAAAGAAATGATCTGATTAATCAAGAGTATAATAACAGTCCTTCCGGAAGAAGATTAGGGTTTGTCTGAGTTCTGACAGGAGGGTGGGGGGTGTAGATCGGGGAGACACTGGAGGGAGGCTGGTGGCTCATATTACCTGTTAGCCTTCATCACTATTCTATTTCTAAAGAACCCAAATTATTAAAATACAGAGAGCAGAGATCACAGTGCACATAATGTAATCTCACTTTGGTGATGCAGAAACAATTTAGAGCCTTGCTTTGGGGTTGGCGTTACACAAAAGAGAAAGTTGGGTGATCTGTAATGACCACAGGGAGCAGCCCAGGAGAAGGGGGCCTCACCTGAATCCCCACTATTGGCTATTCACTTAAAATTCATCTCTTCAAATCAAAGCAATCTGTTAAAAATGCAACTGCAAAAGTATGTTAAAAATTCTAGATGACAAAACCCAGATAAATTAGTCTTTTACTGCATTTCCTTGACTATAAGACTATTTTTTTTTTTAGACAGGAGCCTCAAGCTGTCACCCTGGGTAGAGTGCTGGGGCATCACAGCTCACAGCAACCTCCAACTTCTGGGCTCAAGCGAGTCTCCTGCCTCAGCCTCCCGAGTAGCTGGGACCACAGGCACCCACCATAATGCCTGGCTATTTTTTTTGGTTGCAGCCATCATTGTTGTTTGGCGGGCCCAGGCTGGATTTGAACCTGCCACCTTGGGTGTACATGGCTGGTGCCTTAGCCACTTGAGCCACAGGCGCTGAGCCTATAAGACTATTTTTAAGAATTATGTTACTGGGTTGAATTTTTCAATTGAAAAATAGAAATTTTATATTTTATCTGTACAATGTGATGTTTTGAGATACACACACATTGTAGAATGGCTAAACCAAGATAATGAATTTCCTTATATACTTAGCACTTTTGTGGTGATAGCACTTAAAATCTACTATCTTAATTTTCAAGTGTACAGACATTGCTGTTAACTACAGTTACCATATTGTATAGTAGCTCTCCTGAACCTATTCCTTCTTATTCCTTCCCTAATCCTTTGCCTTCCCCCGGACCACCTGCTACTACTGTCTGCTTCTATAAGTTGGACATTTTTAGATCCCACGTATGAGTGAGATAATGTGGTATTTATCTCTCTGTGACTGACTTATCTCACTTAACATAACGTCCTCCAAGTTCATCCGCGTTGTCACAAATGATGGGATACTCCTTTCCTTTAAGGCCGACAGTATTCCACTGTGTATGTGTACCATGTTTTCTTTGTCACAGTTAGCTTGAGTCCACATCTTGGTTATTATGAGTAATGCTCTGATGGACGTGGGAGGGCAGATTTCTCTGAGATCCTAATTTCATTTCCTTTGGACAATTACCCAGTAGAGGAATTGCTGGATAATACAATATTCTATTTTAAATTTTTTGTGGCAACTTAAAAAATTTCCATAATGACTTCCTTAACTGACATTCCCACCAACAGTGTACAAGGCTTCCCTTCTCACCAATTCCTCACCATGTTTATCTTCTGTCTTTTTTAACGACAGCCATTCTGACAAGTGTGAGGCTGTATCTCACCACGGTTTTGATTTGCATCTCCCTGATGATTAGTGATGTTGAAAATTTTTTGTATGGCTATTGGCCAGTTGTGTGTCTTCTTTGGAAAAGTGTCTGTCTGTCTTTTCTAATTTTTAGTTGGGTTATTAGTTTTATACCTATTGAGTATTTGGATTCCTTACATTTTGATTATTAACCCTTTATCAAATGTATGATTTTCAAATATGTTCTCCCATCTCACAGGTTTTCTCTTCACTCTGTGGATTATTTCCTTTGCAGTACAGAAATGTTTTAATTTGATGCAATTCCATTTGTCTCTTTTTGCTTTTGTTGGCAGTGCTTTTAGGACTATATCAAAAAAAATCATTGACCAGACCAATGTCATGGAACTTTTTTCTTGTGTTTTGTTCAAAGAAATCTCTAGATAAAATCCAATCTCTATCCAATTCCCAAAGACATTTTTCACAAAAATAGAAAATGTAATCCTGAAATATGGATGGAACCACAGAAGACCCCCCCAAATAGCTGCATCAGTGTCCAACACAAATAACAAAGGTGGGAACAACATACTACCTGATTTTAAAATGTATAAGAAAGCCATAGTAACCCAAACAGGATGGTATGGGCATAAAAACAGATACTCAAAAAAAAGAA